CTCAGGAATGCGGACCGGTTACTGGCTGGCTAACTGACTAACCGGACGTGGACGCTGTATTGCTGCCGGCCAAGAAGAAGAGGGGGCGGACTGGCTGGCTGGCTGGCTGCTCGGATGGGGTACTGGCCGCATGCCAATGCCACCAAAGGAACGACAACAACCACAGCATGCATGCATAATACAGCAACAGCATTCCCAGACTAGACAGACAGCAGAAAAAAACAAAAAAAAAAAAATCGAAAAAATCAAAACAAAAACGGGGTACACACTAAACAAAACAGCAGAGAATAGAACGAAACAGAAAAAATATGCGCATAGGGAGCAAAAAAGCAACAACTTTTTGACCAACAACCGCAACTACTTATGTACCTAGCATGCATGTGTGCAAGTTGCAACATTAAGTTCAACAGCAGCAATGTGAATGGACTCTGTCGACTTGCTGCGGCGATCAGTGTCGCGACGTTGGCAGTGGTATGTTGTGCATTGTGGCGGGCAAAAAGCAAAACAATAAATTAAAAAAAAAAACATTAAAATAAGAAGGAAGCAACTAAAAAATCATAAAATTCCAAATTGAACTTTTAAAGCTTTTCCATGGAATTTTTGCGCAGACGCACAGGAAGCAAAAACAATAAATGCATAAATTGAAAAAAAAAAGAATTGACTAGTGTGCCACTTTGAAAGCGGACATGGCGGCAACAGGCAGCAACGTATGTAGCAGCAACAATATACATATAGAGCGCCAATTAATGCTGCACTGTTTGTCGGTTGCGCGCGCTATAATCTTCAGATTGTGTGCAAACACACACACGTACATACATATGTATGTACATTTTTCATACTAATGCGTCTGCCTGACTGTTGCTTAGTTCGCTTTGCAACATTCTTAATTAAAAAAGCGTCAAATAAAATAAAAAGGAATGGGAGATGAGGGCAGAATCGCAATGCAAAAGATAATAATAACCATAAAAGAAGTGACTTCCAAGAAATTTGCGGTTGAATTTGTTTTTGATTTTTGGCGCTTGGGAATTTACTTATTGCTTAGCTGTATTTGTTTTTTAATTTTGAGTTTTAGGCACGACTAAAAGTTTTGATTTAATTTGTATTCGCTGTAGTTATTTCGCAGATTTTTAAAAAATTTGCTGCATTTGTTAGAATTTTTTATAAATTTTTTTCTACTTTTATAAATTTTTTTCTTTACTTCGTTTTATTTTTATATCTTTTTGTAAACTCTTTAATTTATCTACATATGCATTTATTTTTTGATTATATAATGATTTTGTTCTTGTTATTCATATAAATAATTTTTTTAGAACATATTTGCTTAAAATTTTTTCTTTTATTTTTTGCTTCATTGTTTATTTTTTCTTTATATTTGTTTATAACTTTTATTTTATTTAATTAAATTAAAAAAAAAATTTTTTAATTTACTTAATTTAAGTTTTTTAACATTTGTTTTTATTTTATTTTATGTTATTCTAGTTCAATCCAACTCAGTTTGTTTGATTTTATTTTCTTTTGATGAATTGAATTTTTAATTCTGTTTATTTATTAAATTTAGCTTTTTTATTAATTTTTTTCTTAAATTTAGTTTTTTTTTGTATTTATGACATTTGTGTAATTTCTTAGTTTTTTATATTATATTTTATTACGCTTTTTCAATATAAATTGATTTATTAAATAATTTTTTTTTATTAAAAGCTTTTATTTAGCTAGTTACTGGTTCACGACATTTTTTAATTATTTTATTCTTATTGTTTATAGTTAATTATTTTTGAGTGTATGAAGGAGATCCACTTTAATAAAATTATGTCGTGTGCCGCATTTATCAATAATTTTGCAGCCACTTTGTACCCAATGTCATACAAATAAAAAATGTGTTAAAAATTTGAACCAAAGTACCGATACTGATATTGAGTAAAATATATCACTGCATTATCAACTAAATTTGTGCTAAATTACCGATACAATTTTAGTCAGTATCTCGGAAATTGAAGGTGGTATCCAAAACACCAATCGAAAAATCTTATTTTTAAATATATAGCTGCATCTGTAACCAAAAATTTAGAAAATGGCCCCTATGACAATCTTTTATCCAGGCGAAGATATATTACCTGCATAGAACGAAATAGCTTCACAAAAAATTTAGCTGGTAGGTGGCGCGGAGTCGATATATTTCGAAAATCTGCACTTCCAATACAAAATTACTTCACAAAAAAGTTTGCCGATAGATGGCGCAGGAGTCGATATATCTGAAACCTGTATTTATGGTCCGATTTGATGCATGTATAGAAAGGTTGTTTTCATTTTTTTACTGTTAATTTATTTTGCTTTATTTTATTAAATTTCACTTTATGTTGTAACCTTTTTACATAAATTTTACACTTCAATTTATTAAATTTTACTTTATTTTATAACTTTTTATTTTGTTACATTTTATTTTATTAAATTTTTATTTATTGTATTTTCATTTGAATTTTTTTCTTCTTAGTTTTTATGTTTACTGCTATTTATTTTATTTTTTTGCTGTATTGTACATATTTTATTTTATTTAACTTTATTTGACCATTATTTTTTCCTTTTTTTAATTTTCTGTATATACATAGGTATATTAGAGCGGGATAATTTAATTTCGAAAAAAGAAAACTCAGTGTATTATATTTTTTTCTGAACGAAATTAGTTTTTCATTTAAAAAATTTATTTTTCTTTTGAAATTTGGGAGCGTCAAATGTCATTTTTGGTATACAGTTTGTTCGCCATTTTTGCTTAAAATTAATCGTAGAATTTGGGTTTGCTATATTCTTTATTTTACATTATTTCATTTCAATCACATTTTTATTAAATTTAATTTTTATTTTCAACAATGAATAAAAAAATTAATTATTATTTTATTTATGTTACTTTAATGAAAAAATAAAGTTAAAAGAACTAAAATAAAAATTAAGATAACGTAAATGCAAAAACAAGGAGCAATTTGTAAAATTAAAAAATATGACAAACAATTTTATAAAAAATAAATAGGTACACAACAGCATAAAAAAATTCAAAAAATCAATTTAAATTATGGTTTTTTTTTTTAATTTTTTACAAGTATCCATTATTTATTTTTTATCATATTTTTTATTTCTTTTACAGTTCTCTACTTAATTTATCTTATTTCTTGTTTTACTTAATTTTAATTTATTATATATTATTTTTCCTTTTTGAATCTCATTTTTAATTATATTCTTCTTAGTGTTTTTTACATATTGTATATTATTTACTTTTTCTTGTTTAATTTTTTACTTTCTTCTATGTTACTTTATTTTGTTTATTTATTTTTGTAATATTTAAGTGTGTTTTTTATTTAATAGGTTCTTTAATTAGTTTTTATAAATTTGCTCCTTGTTACTTTATGTTATCAGCTTTATTTAAATATCATAACAAGACCCACTCCTTTTCGCCATGCACTAACGCGTCCACACTTTTCGTTCTAAGAAAATCACACAGTGTTTTGTATAGCATTTTCTGTTAAATTTTTTAAATTTTGAAAATTTTTTTTTTCCATCTTGTTTTCAAAATATAAGTCATCAATTTCAGTTTTCAGTCAATAATTTCAAAAATTTCCCGTAGATTTTATATTATGCTGTGGATTTTGCAATAGTTTAGTTTCTTCGTTTCGCCTACGTTTTAGTTGTCTAAAATTTTTGTGCAAAATCACTACAAATTTTTGGCCATACAAACTTCATGCCGAAAAATTCGTGCCGTAAAAGGGAACAAAATTCCACCGACGCTCAAATTGTTCCTTGTGAAACGCTGTCGTACGTCCCGGTTTTTTCGTTTTCTTTTTTCGTCCTTTTTTGCTCGTTCGCGGCTCAGTGGACGCGTGCGCGTGCGTGTATGAGCGTGTAGTTATGCGTGAAGTGAAGCGAAGTGTTTCAAGGCGTGGGAGTGGTGTGTGAAATAAAGTCAAATTTTTGTAGCTTTAATTTTTTTTGCGAATTTTCTACAAATTCCTGGCGAAATTTAACGGTGTTCAATGCAATTCAGCCACACATACAGTCTCTTAAAATTTGTTACAAGTTGAGCGAAAAGTTAACAGAGGAATCGGCAAGGAGTGATCTTTCTGATTTCAAGTGAAAGAAGCAAGTAAATCTTGGGCCTCAAGCAGTAGTTGAAAAATTTAGTAAATTCTGTGAAAACCTGGATACGATCATGTTGAGGTATGAGCGCGCGCTGTCATTGTGGCAGCGTGTGTGTGTTTGTGACTATTTTAAAGTGTGTGTAGTATTTTATTTGCTGCCCTAACGCCCTACGGTATGCTTTAGAATTATGCTTAGTAAGCATAGCACTGGCCTATCCATTCTTTTTCACCTTAACTTGCTGCTGCTGTCTGAAAGTAGCCTTTAAGTTAATTAAGAGCAGTTTGCATCACTTAAACGTTGCCTACATTTAGGCGCGGAGCCTTAGGTCCAACCTTTAACACTCCCTCTGCCTCTTATGCTGACGTTATTACCATTTTTGCTTGTAGTTTTGATTTTCCAAAAACAAACATACAAAAACCGATGTAGCGCATACGTTGCCTATATTTAGGCGCAGCTCGTTTTCAAATTGTACACGCTTTTTCTGTATTTGCACTCCACAAAGTATGCTAAGTCTTGTAGTTACATATGTATGTACATACATGCATATTATGTAGTTGCTTTCACTCGAATCACATGTTAGAAGGTGAGCTCAAGCTCCGACTCAACTTTCAGTACAAATTCTTGAGATTGAGCTCATCTCATCAGTGTAAAAATTAAGTCTGAGCATTGCTTTCGTGTATTTCACATATTTAAAAATATGTAGTATGTACGTTCATACATATGTACAAACTTTGTACTGTATCACCCACACGGCTTATCTCACTTAATAGATATGTATGAATTTTCGCTGTTGTTATGTTGTGTTTTCTTCTTTTTTGTTGGTTTTTCTTTATTATTATTTCTACTTCTCTCTACTTTTATTTCTTCTTTGTTCACAGCATTTCAACATCGAAAATTCTTATTAGCGGCATACCGCTGCAAACGCGTTTTGAAGACATCGAACCTCTACTGAAGCCATACGGCATCGTCAAACAGTGTGAGGCTGTCTCTAGTAAGGACCCCAATACTCAGACTGTACATATAACATTCGAAAATCCCGATCAGGCTCAAAGGTATTACATATTTTGTAATGTTTTCATTTCTTGTTTTTGCTTAGTTTTTGTTTTTTATTATATGTTTTTATTATTTTTTTTTTGTTTAATGTTTATGGTTTTATGTTTTATTTCTTATTTATTCTTTTATTTATAAAATAAGTGTTTTTATTTTATAAACGTAATACGAGTGTTGAAACGGAGCTTTGAATGTTGCGGTTCTGAAAATTTATTCTCTAATTGACACTCAAAGTGGGTTTCAAATCAAAATAAGTGGGGGGAATTCTTTCTTCGAGCGCACTGCTGTTTAAGGAATGTGTTATACATTTATGGAGTTTTTTTGTTGGCGAATATTTTCGCCTTTGTCGATAAATTTATGGTTATGGATTTTTATAGTTATCGATATTTTATCGTTTTTGATAGGTAATCGAAATTTTTGTAGTTATCGATATTTTCGTCTTTAAAGGTATGTTTGTGTGATATTCCTATGAAAATATACATTTTACTTCAACGATATTTTAAGCGTTATCGATGTTTTTTTCTTATCTATGAAATTTCTTTAAAATTCTTTATAGTGATTGTTATCTTTAATGACATCACTGTCCTTTCAGACAAATTATAGCCGCACCACTTTTTGAGTTTTTTTGTTATTTAATTTTGGTTATTTTTTTTATGTAGTTAATTTTTTAACAAAACCCGTTAAAATCTAAGTTTCAAACTTTCTGCAATATTTAAAAAAAAATACACTAAACTTTGGTAAAAATTTCAAATTTTTTTAATTAGTAGAATAAACCACAAGTTTCAAATGGCTAAAAATTGTCGTTGGTTTTTTACTATTTTTTTCTTACATATAAAAATAAATTGTGTTTACTCGTTATATGGAAGCAAATGGGACAAAACAAATAATCTTTTCCTTTTCAGTTGGCTAAGGTAGTAAGAGCTGTGTTTTTTTTTCTCACCATCGTCAATTTTGACAGCATCACTATGGAACTCCAAAAATATTATCACGTTTTTTATTTCTGATCTTTTCATAATTTCTCTTCATCGTCTATTATGAGTACGTAAGTATGCAAATACATATATGAGACAATTGTTGAGTTCGAACCTCATTCGTTGAGCAGAAGATCTACTACTCAGTCTCATAAAGAGTCCAAAAATTTCATGGGGGCCTTTTCGATTTTGTAGGCTTATGTTTTGGGGGTAGGTATACTTTTTTTTATTTATTTTTTTTTTACCACCTAATGTAGATACATGCGCTACTGCGATATTGCGTTCTTAAATAAAAAAAAAAAAATTTTAGCTCTTTTACTAGGAGCGTTTTTCTGGTAAAAAAAAATTAGTCTTAAAACTGGTTTTAAAGAAAATTTTAAGAACAACTCCATTAAATAAGGTTCTCCATAACGTAGTTTTTTTTTATATAAAATTAAATTTTATTGAAAAAATTATGTATACTCTTAATTAATATATTCCATTTGTTACTGTCCTAAGTCGAGCTTGTGCAAATCTTTTCTAACAGAGCATCATTTCTTATATCACTCTCTCTCTCTCTCTCTCTTACAGAGCTGCTGGCGGATTGAACGGTGTCGAATTCGAGGGCAATAAATTGCACTCCGAGCCATTGGATAAAAATCAACGTCGTACTAATCGCAACCAACGCAATCCATATCCCGGTATGCCAGGACCCGGACGTCAAGCTGATTTTCCGCTGCGCATTCTTGTGCAAAGCGAAATGGTTGGCGCCATTATTGGCCGTCAAGGTAGCACCATACGTACGATAACACAACAGAGTCGCGCACGTGTCGATGTGCATCGGAAGGAGAATGTCGGTTCGCTAGAGAAGGCCATAACCATTTATGGTAATCCGGAGAATTGTACAAATGCATGCAAGCGCATTTTGGAGGTGATGCAACAGGAGGCCATCTCAACGAATAAGGGGTGAGTTACGCATGCGCAGTGTGGTTCATATTTCAATTTTAATATTGAAAAAATGGCCATGCATGGTTAAATTTTTTTAAAGAAATTTATGTAAATTTTGATCTTTTTTGATAATAAAGGCAATAGTTACGCGATTTTGTGGAAATTTTAAGACAAATTTTTTTCCCAATTTTATTTTTTAAAGCTAAAATTTGTTTAATTCATTTTCTTATCATTGCTTTTTATAAACAAATAAATATGTAAAAATATAAAAAAAAAATTAAATTTTCCGAATTCATAAATAAAAAATATATATTTTTTTTTCAACAAATGTAAGATAATATGAATTTTGCTGAACCAAAGAGCAAAAATAAAGAAATAAAAAATTTAATTCTATAGCCCGGCAGGTTCTGCAATTCACTTCCGAGTGTATTTGAGTCAAGTTCGCTTTGAATTCAAATTGGCAGGGGTTGAAATTCACTCGGAAGTGAATTCCAGAACCTGCCCGATTATCTAGAATATTAAGGAAATAGTTTCAAAACTTCCAGAAATAAAGCTTAATTTGGAGATTTCATCATGCAGTTAATAAGCTTGACAAGGAGAATATGTTCAGTCTTACAAATATCTAAATACCCAAAAATGGTGAAGATATGTTTTATTTGTCTATATTTTTTTTGTATACCAACTGTGTATAGAAAACGATCAAACTTTGACGAATTTTTTCCACAAACTTGAAATCGTGAAGTAAGAAATTTTAAAGTTTTGAAAAACTACAAATTTTAATTAATTTTAAGATGAGATTTCCGATACAGTCAAAAATAATAAATAATAATAAATAATAAGTGTGTAATCTAAAAAACTCTTAAATTTTCGAAATTAACACAAATTTCTCTTTCAAAAGTTTTTCTTTTAACGTTGAGTAAAGTAAATCGTAAAATTCCGAAGTCGTAAATTTAAAATTTTAAGAAATTCACTTGAAACGGCTTACAAAATATTCAACGTAAAAATTTTCAAAAGCTTTAAAATTAATAAAAAAGTAAACTCTCTTAAAATTTGTGATTGGTTTGAAAATATACAAAACAAGATAGAGGCAACTTTTTTCATCACTCTAAAATCATCTGCTAGAAATATAAATTAAAAGCAAAAAAGTTTATTTTTTAATATTTTAAAATTGGTAAATCTTTCGTAGTTAAAATCAAAACCAAACATCTTAAAACCGAAGTTTAAGAAAGAAAAAAAATTTGTGGGTTACCTGCAATGGTTAAACCGAAAATTTTCAGAAATAATTTTTGTAGGTCTTTTCTTCAATTTTGAAGAAAGAGTCTAACTAGAAAATACTGATACATCTCGTCAAAATTGATAGGAACTAAACAAATTAAATTTAGTAAAAACTTACAGATTAAGAAAATTTATAAATTTAATACTTACAATTTAAAAACCATTAAAACGTAAAAAATACAAATTGAAAAGAATTTACAAATTAAACAATTACAAAATTGTAAATTATGTACAAAAAATTTAATTTACAAATTAAAAAACTTTCATACATAAATTCTTCAGATTTTTCAGCTATGTTTTTTTAAACAACTTTTCAGCTCTATCAAATATCTATGTCTTACCGTATTTTTTTGTTTCAAATTTAACCCATTCGACTCATGTCCTCTGATTTTAACTGTATTTATTCCTTCGCCCTTCCAACAGCGACATCTGTTTGAAAATTCTCGCCCACAACAATCTCATCGGTCGCATTATTGGCAAAAATGGCAACACCATAAAGCGTATCATGCAAGAGACAGACACCAAGATCACCGTCAGCTCGATCAATGACATCAGCAGCTTCAATTTGGAACGCATAATTACGGTTAAGGGCCAAATTGACAATATGTCACGTGCCGAGGCGCAGATTAGCTCGAAATTGCGTCAAAGCTACGAGAATGACTTGCAAGCAATGGCACCACAATCGCTTATGTTCCCCGGCCTCCATCCGATGGCCATGATGTCGACACCCGGCAACGGTATGGTCTTCAATCCCAGCATGCCATATCAATCGTGCCCGGGCTTCCCGATGTCTAAGACACCGGCGAGCGTGGTGCCGCCCGTCTTCCCCAATGACATGCAGGAGACCACATACCTCTATATACCGAATAATGCGGTGGGTGCGATTATCGGCACCAAGGGCTCACATATACGCAGCATAATGCGTTTTTCGAATGCCTCGCTCAAGATCGCCCCGATCGACACCGATAAGCCGGCCGATATGCAAACCGAACGAAAGGTGACGATCGTCGGTACGCCGGAGGGTCAATGGAAGGCGCAGTATATGATTTTCGAAAAGATGCGCGAGGAGGGTTTCATGTGCGGCACCGAAGATGTGCGACTAACTGTCGAAATAATGGTGGCCAGTTCGCAGGTGAGTTACGCTAAAAATGGTGTAAAAAAAAAAATTCACATAAACAAATATATGTTTCAATATATGTATTTTGCAGGTGGGCCGAATAATTGGCAAGGGCGGTCAGAATGTTCGTGACTTGCAACGCGTCACTGGCAGTGTAATCAAACTGCCAGAGCATGCGGTGGCGCCAGCAGCGGGTGGTGATGAGGAGACGCCCGTGCACATAATTGGTCAATTCTATAGCGTGCAGGTGAGAAAAAAATAAAACAATTTAATTTTTTTTTACAGAGCAACGATAGCGATGGCGATAAACATGTAAATAAAAGTTTCGATAAGAAAAACGTAAAAGATAATTGCACAGATTACGATAAAAATATTTTGTCGATATAAATCGATAAAAATATCAATAAATATAAAAAGTCGATCAATTCATCGAAAGAAAAACGAAAACGATAACTAGTGAGATTACGCCAACTTCTGGTAAAGAATATATGTATACAACATTAGGCAATCGATAAATACATCAGAAATTTCATATAGTTTTCATGTGTAAATTTTTTTTTTAATATTCACAACGTTTTTCAAGTAAACTTTTTTTTAAATGTTGGTCCCGATTCGAGACGAGTCTACGGAGCCTCAAAAAATTAAAATTAACCGGCTCCAATCTGGACCAAAATTTATATGTGATATCCTCGATTTTAGTAATATCGATTTTGGGTATTCAGTAAATAAAAAAAAAAATTAATTTTTTGTCTCCATAGAGGCATCTGGCCTTTGACCCCTTTGCGACACGCCTTAATCGACTCCAATCGGGACCAAAATTTATATGTGATATCTTCGACTATGGTAGTATCGATTTTGGGTATTAGATGAAAAAAGAATTAATTTTAATTTTTTGAGTCTCTGTCCCACACGCCCTAACCGCCGTCTCCAATCGATACCGAAATTTACATATATGTGATATCTGTGATCGTGGTATTACCGATTGAAGGGTGAGACTGGAAGAAATCGTCTATTTGATTTTTTAAGGACCGCCCTAATGCATATGCGTAAGTAGATATGTACATATGTATATTGATATCGCCATCTCGATATAGCTATACATAAATGATATCGATATCAATGGATGATGCTAATACAAATATTTTCGATTGCAAAATCTATATAATCAGGCGTATTCTGGTTTTCGTACGAATCGAAAATTTGAAATTTTTGTATAGAAAATGATAGAAAAATTTCATGATTTTCGATTCGTACGAAAACAAGAATTCGCCCCAATATGTCTATAAAAAATTCCAAGAAACGTCGTTTTCGGAAATTATCGATATCGACATATACTTATGTGCATATATCGGTCTCAGCATAAAACTAACGGCCACGGCATAGCTATCCTTATTAGCATAAGAAACGATAACGTAGCGATAACACATCTTCCTCATCTTTTTTTTTTTGTATATTTCCTATACATTTTTTCTAATTCAATCTTTTTTCTTCTTGCAGTCGGCACAGCGTCGCATACGTGCCATGATGATGTCGACGAATCCGCCGCCGGTTACCAAGAAGCAAAAAGCTGCCAAAGAACAGTCCGCCGCCGCCGCCGCTGCAGCAGCTGCTGCCGCTGCCGGCAGTGGGACTCAGCAACTGCCGCAGCAACAGCAGCAGCAGCAGGTAACACAGCAACAGCAGCCACAACCATCACTGCAACAGCCGCAGCAGTCGCAACAACAGTCGCCACAGCAACAACAACCACAACAACAACAACAACAACCATCTGCGTCAAGTCAGTAAGCAAAGTAGTAAAACAAAAACAAAAATATACGCGTTTCAATTCGTTTTGTTGAAGCATTTTTATTATAAAATATTTTTTTATTTTTATTATTATTATTTTTTTATTAAATTAAATGCAGAGAAATGTGTATGATGATGTATTTAGGTTTTCTAATATACTATAAACATAATTATTATTATGAACAATATTTCTTTTTTAAACATCAATAATGATTGATCGTCGATGTGGACATTAATGATGATGATTATAATGATTATGATGATAATGAAAGAAAAAATAGTAATAATGTCAAGAACATAGTAATGATGATTTTTGTCAAGCATAAAATTTAAAACAAAAGAGAAATAATTTTAGAAGAAACAGAAAAAGCATTCAAAGAAGACAACCAGCCTAATTTACATTAAATCAAATAAACAAAATAAACAAAAAAAAATATTATGAATGTTAAACCATAACAAAAAATAAAAACATTATGAGCAGCGCTAATAAATCCGGCAGACGAAAAAACAAAAAAAAAACACAAGTTTGTTCGCTTAAATAAAAAATAAGAAACATTAGGCGCGAAATTAAGAACAACTACAACAATTAATAATACGAAAATACAAAAATTACAAGTCGGAAACAAAAACATTCAGAAAGAAAATAAATGTTTCACACTGTAACACACACAAACAAACACATGCACATTATTAGCAATAACAACAGCAACCACAAGTCTGCACAAAAATTTGAGGTTACAACAGACATTTTTCGGTGAAAAACGCTAAAAAGAAAAAAAAATTAATTCAACAAAATTTTAAATTCTGCGTACAGAATTGATACAGAGTTGCATACATTTTGTACAGCAATGACACTAAAACAGCTAAACCCACCATGTGTTAGGAGCGAAAGCAACAACTATCACCAACTAAGCGAAACGTCAGCGCTGCATATGAAACTTGGCAAAAATAATACGGAATTTTGAATTCAAAAACAACAAAAAGTTTTGAGAAGTTTTAGTTGTTTGAATGACACAACTTTTATATATAATATAGTTATCAATCCATTTATCCACAATTAAAAATATTAACCGAAAAATTTAAGAAATCTGTTAACCCCATAAAACCAAAAGCAGAATAAATATTGAGATACAAATAAACTAATAACGACATAAATCGGCCCAGGAATTAAAAATTATTTTGTGGCAAATTTGCTTTCAAAAAAATTCAAATGGCAAAACTGCTATATTAGAGAGAGTTTACATAGAGCAAAAATAAAACCCATTAAGCGTGAGTGCGCCATCTAGATTATGCGAGCGTTAGCGCAGTAACACTGTTACTGCAACTAATGTGTCCTACAATGCTTCAAGGCACATGACTGTGTAAACTCACCCTAAACTAGTGTATTTTAAAACAACAATAAAAAATATATAAAGCACTTGCTGGTCTAAAATAAATAATAAAAAAACATACGGTTTCAAAGTAACTCAAAAATCCAAAAACAACCTAAAGCATAATCCACTAAAAAAAACTAAAAAAAGCAAAAAAGTATTTTGCATATTTGTATAGAAAGCTAATCATAAAAAATTACCAAAAAGCATCTGACTCCAACAGAAAAAACCAAAAAAAAAAACATGAAAATAGTATAAAGAGAAATGTAAACTAAATGAATAAACTAAAAACGTAGAAATTTTTGCCAAAAAAAAAAACATATGCAGCGGACGTCTTTATAGCAAACAAAACAAATAAGCCTAGCAAATTTTTCTCCGAAAGCACCACTGCATTGAAGAAAATAATTTGTACTTTTGCCGATGTGTAAAAAAAAATATTAATAATAATTTAAGACCGACCGTTAGTGTGGGAAAAAAGTAATGCAAAATGCCAGCAAAGTAAATTTTTAGCGCAAAAATTGGAAATTTTAACATAATGGTGCGAGAAATCTGTCTGTGTTATGTACAAAAGCGAGCAAAAATAGAAAAAAATTAGAAACCTTTTGAAAAAAGATAAATATATGTACATACTTGGAAATTTTCGATACAAATCTGAATAACATACAAAAAAATAAAAAAATTTAATAATTTTAAAAATTATTCGATAAGTTAAAAAAAAGTTTCCAAAATATGTTCCAAAAATTTCAAAAATGGTCGAAAAGTTGCAAATCTTACTAAATGTATAAATATCGTCGAAATTTTAAGCCCCAAAAGACATCAAAATAAATATATATTTGCTAAAAATTATGATTTTCCCTGCAAATTTGCAAATTTTCCAACGATTTTGCAAAAGTATAGGCATTGCAAATTTTCGAAAAGCGTACGGAATTTTTTTTACACATAAAATTTATTTTATATTTTTAAAAATTTTTGATTATTTTAAAAATGATAAAAATTGTATAACTTTTTTTCACGTTTTTCACCATTACATACAGCCATACGTGCGTGATTTCTTGCAATTTCTTCTTAACTCGCTTTTATGCATAGCATTGACATTCTAAAATAGTCAATGATTTTTGAGAAAAAAAACTTCAATTTTAGAGAAACTCACAAGCAAATGTGTCTTGTTAAAGAAAATTCACAAAGAGCAACTTGAAAAATAGTAGCGTAAAAAAAAACTTTTTTCGAAAAAAAACTACACCGAAAGTAACCGCTCCGAAAGTAACCACTCCAGAAGTCACTATAAAAAAGTAACTATGCCGATTATAATTACTATAGTTTTGACTACAAAGTTACTAAACGGTAAATGACTACTCCGAAAGCAACTACTCTAAAAATAGCCACTGCGAAATTGGCTTCCATGAAAGTTATTATGTCGATACTCCACTTTTAACTGCTGTGGTGACTAAGCCGAAAGCAACTACTGCAAAAGTTACTACTCCAATAACTACCACTTAACTACTTGTTCCATTAAAAGTTTCTATTTAAACTTTGTTTTTGCATCTAGTGAGATATGTTAATTGCGTTTGCCTTGAAACGGTGCTGAAATGTTTTAATTGATAATATAAAGTAATGAAAATAGTGAATAATATAAATAATATGGAATTTATTTTGCATAATAAATAACTAAAATTTTAAATCATTTTACACAAACATACATACATACATACATACATACTCTTCTACATACATACATAGGCGTTCTCTTTGTTTTTAATGCAATCGACAGTTACAATAAATAATACTTAACGCTAATTGCTTACCATAAAAACGATTGAGTTGAGTTTTTATAAATACTAATATAAAGAATAAGTAAATTTAAATAAATATAGTATATTTCTTAAATGTTTTTTTTAATTGTTAAATAGTTTTCCAACAAACATTGCCTTATGCATTTTTTTCGTTTTAGTTTAATTAGTTACAGTAACCATTGAATGTGCGAAATATAACCGTTATACAAATTGTAACTGTAATCCATATACCGTTAAAAGTGGAAGCAATTAGTTGTTAATGCAAAAATTAATAGTTAACACTTACACTTAGTAAATTTAATAATGAGCAGCAAACAATCAAACAAACAAGCAATCAGTTTAATCAATCAACCAACAAACAAGCAAGCCAATAGTTTAAAAAATAGTACAAACAAAAAAAAAAACAAAACACTTTAAAGTATGCTGATTCTAATTGTGTAGAAAGGCAAATAAAAAATTTTGACTCGTCGAAATTTTTATTGCTTTCTCTACTGGGAAATAAACAGCCATTGCAATAGTGTTTTAACAATAGCCCAAAAATGGAATAAGAAAAGCGAAAATAATACCTAATCATAGTCCTCCAACTACATACCTAAATAGCCAAGCTGAACTTATTTGTTTATATTTTTTTCATTTATAAATAAATATATACCGATATACATACATACATACCTACGTACATACAACTATATTCATGAATACTTTATAAAAATATACAAATAATTTTTTATTCATAGAAATTCATTGACATATTTGTACATACATCATACATACATATAATAAAATAACAACTTAAAAAATCCATAGCATTTTAATTACAAGAAAATTATTGCAAATTTTACAATTAATACGCATAACCATATATTTCATATACAATAGCATATATATACATGCAATACACATACATATATTAATACCCGCATAAATATGTACATACACAAATAATACATAATTTTTCTTTCGGCAACCAACCACTTTTTAACAAATCGCAGATTCCGTTGTTGTAATAGTTTTCCATTGTTTTTGTTTTTTCTATTTTGCAATAATAATTTCACAAACATACATACATATGTATAAGCACGAAAATCATATTAAATATTTAATTACTGTTACTCAGTGTAGCTAATGCATTAACTACTTTTTAAGTCCAACTAGTTTCCTAATTTCCTTATTAAAAAATTTGTAATTAAAAACTAAAATTTAACTTAAAAAATATATTACACTTTCAAAGCTAACAAATTGTTTTAACAAAAAAAACAGAAAACAATATTTCGCACACTTCATTTCCATACAAAAATTTGGTGAAAAATTGCTTTCAGATAAAAAATACATTTAAAAAAAGTCAAGCAATTTTTCGCCATTAAAACATTTTGGCATTAAAAACAATTATTAATATAAAAAAAAATCATTTCAAAATTTTACAATTCAGCATTGAGCGCAGAAATTGCGAGTGTGTGGCACAGGCCGAGAAAGAAAACGAGCGGGTGAGCAAATTTACGCACAGCGAAAACAAAATAATTTCTATTAAAAAAAAAAAAAAAAACTATTGAAAAAAATACTTCGTAAATTAAATACCTTTTGATACTTCATTACGTCTCGGTGACTAATTCGACTAATTGGCTTATCGAAAAGATATCAGACAAATTACTAAACATAAAATTTGGCAGTTTTTCGTTGACAATATCAATAAATTTTCTATTGATAATTTATCACTTGAAAATATCGAAATTTAAGTTTTAATAAATAAACTAAAATATCGCTAAAAATATCAGAATCCATTAATTTTGTTTCCTATAATGCACACTATTTACATTTATGCAGTGTAAATTTGAGAGATATAAGATAGAAG